ATTTGTCACTCTCACTAGAGAAGAAATTGAGACTACAAGTCCTCCTGATCACCTACTGAGAGCTTAGCCTGAGAAATAGCGAACTTATTTTGATATTTAAAGAATTCAAAGTGATATTATGTTTATACTATAATTTGGGTTTTCAGTATTCTAAAAGCTCCATGTACTTAAAGGATTGGTTTTCCAAGAGGTGCTACTAGGAGGTGGGACCATGATGTACGGCCCAAACTAGCAAGTCAATTGGTCACAGACTGGAACGTATAAAACTGAGTCACAGGGGCTGGAGGGATGGCTCAGTGGATAAGCGCACTCAGTGCCGATGCAGAGGGCCTGAGTTCAGGTCCCAGCACCCACACGACAGCTCATCGCCATCTATAACTCCAGTTCCAGGAGGACTGGTGCTTGTATCTGGGCTCCTCAGCCAGAGTGCACCTGGTGGACATGCACTTGGGCACACACACAAACACATAATATGAAAGTAAATAAATCTGGGGAAAAGCCCTGTAGGTCACAACAAACCTGTTCTCTTTATTAATGGATTATTCAGATACTGTGTTATAATGGTGAAAAGCTGAATACACAGTATTTATGAACCTCCAAGTGGATCTGAGCATTCTCATCGAAATCTATGTTCAATACAGGCCTCTTGATATTTTACCTTTTTCATGGGGGAGTCTCTCTGACCATTGGAGGACGAATGAGCCAGAAGACTCCATTACTATCAGTGGTACCCAGTTGCCTGCCTTTCCAGTTTGTGGTGGTTTGAAAGAAAATGGCCCCAAAGAAAGTGGCCCTATCAGGAGGTATAGTCTTGTTGGAGGAAGTCTGTCACTGACGGGGTGGGCGTCGAGGTCTCTTTTCTCAGTATGACAGTCAGCCGACTTCCTGTTATTTACGAGACGTAGGACTCTCAGATGTAGCACCACACCAATGAACTGTTTTCCTTTACAAGAGTTGACATGGTCATGATGTCTCTTCATAGAAATGAAACTCCCTAACACCATCTTTCTCAGTGGTCCCCATCAATCAAACCTTCCTTTCCTGTAGCATCAATACCTTGCAATTGGGCTTTACCACCCAAGCTGTTCCCAACTATTCCAGAAAAGGGCATGGGAAGATCATTTTTTAGAATGAATCTATGATCGCTGAAGCAAATCTTGGATCATCACTTGGTAGGGAAAACACGATTCTTCAGACAAAAACATAGAACTCTTGAGGCAGATTTGGATCTTGCTAACATTCACAGATGTTTGGAAAGCCATGGATTTTACATCCTGAATCTGGGCCAAGAACTAGAGAAATGGATATGCTTCTTCCAGCTCAGTGAAAAAAATAAATGTGATGATGGACTTGCAAGGCTGCTGGCCTTTCTGAACCCAAACTGCATGCTACTGACAAGGGCGTGATGAGCTAAACTTCAAAACACTCTACAAATCAAGCCGAGATGTCCAAATATCTGGGGTTAGTGTGTTAGCCAATATTCAGAACATCTGAACAAAATTGAAACACTTAGCTTTTTTAAAAAAAGAAACATACAACATTCATGTGCAATCTAGTTTTTCACGCCGGATTTGATTAGTTTTAATGATGAGTGTTTTAGAGCAAGTACAAGTCTATTCTTGGGGACCTCAGTTTCCCAACCCACAATTAGGACTAAATAAAGCAAGGTTCTTTTTATAAGACTTAACTTCACTCTGACTTTCCTGGATGTGGCAGCTGTAAACCCACAAGGATCTGAGCCAGAATTTCTTTATGACTTTTCCACCTCCCCCAGGAATAAGTAAAGCACTCTGCAAAAGTACCATTAGCTCTTTTGAATCACTGTTCTCTTGTATTACGGGGTGCCCACGTGGCTTTTAAATGATGCCACAGCCATAAAGCAGTCTCCCATTTCCAAGGATTAACTAAGGCTCTTGGAAGGTAAGAGCAGCTCATTGTTTTAGTCTTTTATTTCTCTTTTTCACAAGGCATATTCAGTTAGGCCACCCACAGTTTCCATTTTATAAGAGTGTCCCCTCACAACAAGAAAAGAAAACTTATTCTGGCATCTTGAAAACAATAAATATTGATTGTGTGAGAGGTGAAAGTTCTACTTTCTATATCCTTGCATTTATACCTATAAAGGCCCAGATTTTTGGCTAGGTATGGTGGCACATACCGTTAATACCAGCACTTGGGCAACGGAGGCAGGAACAGCTAGAGTTTGAGGTCAGCCTGGTATGCATAGCTGATAGCTAGACCTTGTCAAAGAGGGAGGGATGGGAAGAAATAACTCAACAACTCCAAAACAAAAATACCACACCAACAAGCCCAAACAATACCAGAAGTGAATTCTGGTCCCCGGCTCCTTGGTGCCTCTTACTCTTACTATATGTGATGACCTGATTGAAACTAAGAGAGGAACATCTGACATCTGGGCCAACTGTGCTGACTAGCTCACCCCTTGTCCCCATGTCTCACTCAGCTTCTGCCATAAACCCTTCAAGACCAGTAACTCAATGGTACCCTATCCCTGGACACTGCACCCACTGTATACATCCCCAGAGGGTTGCCATACTGTATGCGGAAGAGCTCTGTCTTCTCATGCTTTTTTTTTTTTTAGCATGATCTATTGTAGACATCTCCTAAGACTCATCCTCCATGCTCCATGAATTTCATTCTTTAGTTATGAGACAAGAACCTGAAAACCAATGGCTCAGAGTGGTTTTGTTGGCTAACAAATTTTCCAAGACCATAGGCCTCAAGCTGAACTCACCACGAGCTGAGAAAGGCTTCACCAAACTCAGAGACACCTCCAAATTTCCAATACTAAAAGGTTTCTTTTAATTATCTTTCTAAAAGTTAGCATCCAAAGTAACGTGCTTCATGATGGCGTTTTTGTTTTCCCATTGGTCCTCCTTCCCCTCCCTCTCCTTTCTTCCCCTCTCACTCTCCCCCTTGCCCTCCTCAAATCCTTCTGCTGATCCTCTCCCTCTTCCTAATAGCCCCCCCTTTGATTTCTTATCTAATACATTCTAGGAGCTTTTTGTTTTCATCTCCGACTTAAGATTACCTTAGCCCTCTTATGGTTTCCTTTTTAGTTTTATGACCACACACAAACATGAACACTGTGATGGTACATGCCTATAATCCCAGTTCTTGGGAGCCAGAAGCAGGCAGATCTCTGTGAGTTCGAGGCCAGTCTGGTCTACAGAGTGAGTTCCAGGGCAGCCAGAGACCCTGCCTCCAAAAATGAACACCACCCCCAGACAAAAAAAAGAAAGAAAGAAAAATAAAGGAAGGAAGAAATAAAGAAATAGAAAAGGTGAGAAAAGAAACTGCATATAAGATTGTACTTCAAGGCATTTCAATAGCAAGAATTGTCTGAAAAAGATTCTAGTATCACAGGAAATAACCCCCACAATGGAAAATGGGATTACATGAAATTAAAAGGCTGCTGCATGGCAAAGGAAACCATCAGCACAGTGAAGGAAACCTACAGAATAGCAGCAAATCTTTGGCAAAGGGTCGGAACGGATCCTACATTTCACTTGTGGGTCTGGCACAGCTGAAATCACAGCTCTGAAGTGCTCGCAGCACACACATATCCTTTGGCAGATGATACATGAAGATGTGCTTAAGGCTTTTTCTAAATTTATAGTTGCTTTAAATGGTATTAAATCCAAATAGAGGAGCAAAAATGGCATTTTTTAAATTGCATTCCTTTTGTATATCAATGTGTTCATACATTACAGGAAACTTAGGGGATTCATGCAAGCAAAACAAATAAACTAGCATTTAGAAATGAAGATGGTCACGGCACTTTATTCCACATTCTTTTCTTCATCATGTATGATGGCCTCATGGTGTAAGACTTGAATTATTGTTGTCTCGTAGTAAGTTATCTGAGTTCTTATATACAGTGTGGATGGTAGTTCCTAATGGGATGCATGGTTTTCACATATTTTATCTTAACTTGTAGCCTTCTCTTTACTTTGCAAAGAGCTGTGCTTAGATGCCACCTTAGAAAGTGACGTCAGTTCAGTGCTACAAAGTTATATAAGGAGAGCTTCCTGGGGATGAATTTACACAATGGCATAGAATCAAAGCCCAAAGACCAAAGCAAGGTTTCTCAGCTTATTGTAGATTAGACATAGGTCCTTGGCTAAGTGATTTGTGGGCAAGGCATCCGTGCATAGTGCAGAAGACAGTGAGTTTCTTGAAGGGAAGGCGAAGGGGATCAGTGTCTCAAGGATTCCCAAAGCAAAGTCATTGCTGAGCCTCATGTGAAGTCTTTCTAAAGGACAAGCCTGCAGTGTGCTCACTGTGGCTAAACACGGACATCACCAGTGTTGTGGAACTCTTTGAAAATTGCCTAGCTAAGAACTCAAATAGTGCATTCCCTTGGACGCATGGTTGAGAAGCACCAAGATAATGCTGCTTCTGAGGAGGACCCTAGAAAATTGTGAGGACAGTATTTGTACCTTAAGAAAACCATCGTCTTTCTTGGAAAGTATAAAGGCATCTTAGACAAACTGTAAGAGGAACTAGATCCTGACACTATTCATAGCCTTCAGGTCATGGAGGCAGAGGGAGACAAATGTTTTTATTTTGACTTCACTTTCTGCCTATTTTAAAAATTACTACTATTTGCATACTTTTCTTTAAATAATGAAAAATGTTATATAAGTATAATGATGTGACCTTTAAAACTAAATAGTGTTGGTGTTTCAAGCCTGGGCCCTGTGTCAGCATCTAGGACTGTTAAGGAAGCTGCCTTAGTGGACTGTTTAGCATTGAGTTATTATTGCTGCTCTTTAGCATCTACTAACCATGAGACAGCCATGTATACAGTAAACACTAGACACCACATAGAAGTTTCTTAAAGATTTAAACATGAATGAAAGTTAAAGAAAATATTCTGGCCTTAAAACAGTCTTCTACATTTTTCCCCCATAAGTCAATTTAAAAAAAAAAAAGCTTGCTCTCAACTAAAACTATTTCATTTTTCTGCAGCTAAATATTTTTGAAGCATTGTATAGAATAATAATAGCAAATAACAATTTACGAAAGGAACATCCTAAAGGAAGCATCACGGTTTGAATTTTATTGCATTAAAAACCTCATGTTCCCATTATCTGGCTCAGGTGAGTCTCCACAAAACACTTGGTTAATTGTTCCTCGTTTCCTTGTTATGAAGCTGTTTATTAATATGGGACCAATAAGACCCTTTAAATGGAATGTAATTCGATAGAATTAGTTAAAAACAAATTGAGCATATGTGGTTAACTTTGCTTTTGGAATTAGCCTATCGGGTGCTGATCTCCATAATTAAAGAATCCTAATTCATAATTCTCTGAATCACTGAATTTGGCAGGGAAATGCCAGTAATTTTCATTTCACAACACAGTGCCTCAGACAGTAATAAGCCAGAACAAAACACATGCAGGTTTAATCAGGTAACGAAGCGTGTCAAGTACCTACTCTGAAGGATAGGAGTCTGGCGCCTCAAGTGTAAGCCTGGAAAACTCCCTCAGGGGTGTTATATAGTCTCCGATATGTACCTCTCACAGCTTCTGCTGACACCTTTAAGAGAGAAAAAAAAGTATCACCAAGATGAGGCGTCAGCATTCAGAACAAAACACTCTCAATATGACTCTGGGAGCCAAGGTTATAAACATACTTGAGTGTGCACCAGAGGGCACACTCACACAAACACAAGTGCACACACACACACACACACACGGACACACTTTTGTAGTAATCAAATGTAGAGATGAAGACGCAAAATTTCAAGTAAAGAGTAGTCTGAGTTTATCTTCAGGTTTCTCCTCCAAAAGAAAGAGGAGGAGGAGGAGGACGATGAAGAGGAGGAGGAGGCGATGAAGAGGAGGAGGAGGAGGAAGAGGATGTTTTTCTTTTAAAACTTGTGTAAAATTTTGACTTTAGAGTATGCGGTTCCAACTGCTGTTGTAGGTCAGAAAAAGGAGTCCCTTAGATAGATAATCAAGATAAAGGATGAATCATCCCCAGTATGGCTTTTTATTGTTGTTGTTTTATGGTAGTTCACAGATCTGGCACTTAAGATTCATGGTGTTCAGATCATCTAGGGAGCTAATAAAGGGAAAACTGTGCAAAACACATGTCGCGCAACTCGGTTTTTACAGGCAAGTCATATCTACCGGCAGGCCTGTCCTGCCTGTGTCAGCATTTCTGTAACACTGAAAGACTGCTAAGCCAGCCTCCTCTGTGAACAGGCTGCAGACCCAAGGCAAAGGACCCACTCCTATTCCAGCCCCAAGATCTAGATGTGGGATCTTCAAGGCTCCCTGGCCGGCATCCTTTGAGCCTGTCTCTAACGTCCCTGCTGCCTTTTCCTTGAGTCCTTTTTCCTAAGAATAGATGTCTCTGCTGAGGTACACACCCTAGGGCTAACAAGATGTCACCAAGGGCTGGCGGTTGAAGTCACTATGGCTTCGACCCATAGGCCACAGTCCCTTTGAGCCATAGTTACAAGTTCAATGCTTTTGATGGGGTAGAAGAGGCCAAAACTGGAGAAAAATGAAAGTGAGCCCTGGTTAGGTAGGAAAAGATTTGTTTACAGTCTCCAAGCTGCACATCTATCAGAGCAGGGCCAGACCCATTTTCTGCAGAAAAGCTTAAGTCAGACAAAGCTGAGGCCTCAGGGTATCAATAGTTTATGTTGTTTAGACTTTTTTTCCATTTTCCTCTATAGTGATGAGAACATTCCAATAGGGTTATATCTAATTATAACCATTAAGTGAAATGTAATTTTTAAAAAATCTGCTGAAGAAATACAGGGAAGATTTTCTGTTTTGGCCAGTGTGTGTGTGTGTGTGTGTGTTAGAGAGAGAGAGACAGAGAGAGACAGAGATAGACAGAGACAGACAAGAGACAGAGAGAGAGAGATGGAAACAGAGACAGGGACACAGAGAGACAGAGACAGGGACACAGAGAGAGAAAGTGTGTGTGGTGTGTATGTATGCATCTGTGTGTGGTGCAGAATACTTAAAAATAACAATACAAGAAAGTAACCAAATAAGTAGTGGGAATTATGTTTCAGTTCAACAACTCTGAGTAGCAATTCATAGTGAAGACATGAATTTAAAAGAATTCCTCCAAAGGCAATATTCTACCTTAGGTGTGAACTAAAACTTCATTTGTCCAACAAAAATAGTACCCTTTGCACTTTGTACTTTATTGCTTAGTTTTAAATTTTAACCAAAATACACACACTGTGTAACCACAGCAAGTAACAGCTCTGAATTAGCTGAGGCTGTTTCTCATTCTTTCACTGGTGATCTGTTAAGAACATTCTTGTGTCCCCGCCCCCATAACAAATGCACTGCATTTGACTGCATTCGAGAAGAAGGTAAATGCTGAATTAGATCAGGAAGTAGGTTCCTAACCTGACAGGTTTGAGTCCTTGTAAGAGCATCAGAGTTTGTGCTCTGGTCTCCTCACACGCCAGAGAGAGGTCATGAAGCTGTAGAGGAAGGAAGCTAACCAGGTGCTGAAGAGAGACTCTGCTAGAAACCATGGCGGCCTCCAGAACAGTGAGAGTCCGCATTTCAGCTGCTCAGGCTGCTCACTGTGTGCTCTTTGATAAGGACAATCCTCTCTCACTGCTACGTTGTCACTTACTTGCAGCCCATCATTTAGGCGCAGGGATGCAGAGTACCCTGGAGACGGAGACTCACTGCTGAGGTGAGTTTGGCGATTCCAACCTGTAAGCTCCATCTGAAGGACCACAGAGAGCTGAGTCGGCCCGGCTTGGCCTGGCTGGGCACATGATGCTTTCTCCATAGCTGGCTACGTAAACTGTCACGTTCATTAAATAGTCTGTAACCAAAGCATGCTAATTTGAAGACTTTGTAGATATTTTACATGTAAAATCAACTTATATTTAATTCAGCAACTACTCCATTAGCGCATAGGCAAAAACAACAACCACAAACAAACCGAAAAGCCCCTTTGTCTCAGACAGGAGTGTTTTATTACTGGCATTTACTGCTGCCAGAACATGGAGACGGTAAAGAGCAAACAGATTTCCAGCCCCTTTTCTCCTTGCTTTCAAACTCTCTCTCGGCAAACTTAAAGCCTGTGCCTATGCTAAGGAGCGCCCCTTCCTCAGCCCTGCCCTTGGGGCGAGCACACCTTCCACAGCCCTGCCCATGGTGTGAGCACCCCTTCTGCAGCCCTGCCCATGGTGTGAGCACCCCTTCTGCAGCCCTGCCCCTGGGGCGAGCACACCTTCCTCAGCCCTGCCCCTGGGGCGAGCACACCTTCCACAGCCCTGCCCATGGTGTGAGCACCCCTTCTGCAGCCCTGCCCGTGGTGTGAGCACACCTACCGCAGTCCTGCCCCTAAGGTGAGCACCCTTTCTGCAGCCCTGCCCCTGGGGTGAGCACATCTTCACAGCCCCGCCCCTGGGGCGAGCACACCCCAAAAGGGGACCTCCTGTTTGCTACTGGGGCTTCAAAGTTACAGCAGGGACAGCTTCCCAGAACTAAGACTTAAGAAGCCCTCATTCTGCAGGAGACAGAGTCTTAGAAAAGCGCCAATTCTTCGGTAGTCGTGAAGCATTTCTTGGACCTCTCAACTCACAGATTCTGAAGGGCGTCTGCTGTCCTGGGGGTCCCTTGAGTCATGTTGTCAGAGCAGTAAGTGTTGGTCATTATAAAGCCAGGATTCTGCCACACAATCTATATGAATGTAATATCTCTCTTGAGGCTTGGCATCTCCATTGCTATTTAAAGCTCAAATTTTACAGCTTCCTTGGAGCAGGAATTTCAGGCAATTGTGAAACTTCTACTGTGGCTAGTCACTAGTGACCCACGGAGAAGAAAAGAAACAAGTTAGTTTGGGAGTCTCTGGGGAAGTCTGGTTGCTAAAATAGAGGCGAAATGGAAATCTTCAGTTCTTGTAAGAGCCTCAGACAGACCTACTGCAGAAACCCTGGCCATCAGCCCCTGCCCTGGTAGGCCCATCTTCTAAGAGCTGCCCTGGTGCCACATCTCACATTGTGAGTACCATGCTTACCAGCTTGTTCTGGGACAGAACTCTATCCCACTGGCCTTAACGTGAAAATTAGGTGCTGTGTTTCCTCTGACCCGAACCTTGGCCGATAGACTACATCAAAATAAACCACAGCCTATGGAGGAGGTTTGTGGCATGGAGAGAAGTAGCAGCAGAGAGGAAAATCACAATAAAATCAAGATGGAAAAATGCAACAAGTAGCACTAAAATAGGATGTCTCGTTCAGGGGGAAAGTTTCCAGTTCTGTTTTCCTGGATCTATTCTTCAAGATTTTCAAAAATAGCAAGTGACATATTCCACGGCACAGGGATTTTTCTCATAGGAATGGTGTCATTTGATCTTGGCAGCTTTCCCCAGGAAGACCACCTGAGCTACTCTGGATACAAATTAAGTTCTACCCATTAGATCTTAATTTATGAAAACTTGAGAGAATGCCAGGTATCCAAGAACACTCTCTTATACCTCCATGATGCATGGCTGGTATTTTTTCCTGTTTATTAAACAGATTATTTCTTCTCACATAATGTATCCTGATTACAGTTTCTCCTCCCTCTCCTCCTCTCCTCCCATCCAGACCCATTCCCTTTCTGTCTCATGTTAGAAAAAAGCAGGCTTCTAAAGGATTATAATATAATATAAAATATATAGCACAATGATGTATTATGATAATACAAACACATTGGTATTGGACAAAACAAAGAGACAGAAGGAAAAGACTCCAAGGGCAGGCACAAGAATCAGAGACCCACTTGTTTGAACACTCTGGAATCCCATACAAACACTAAGCTGGAAGCGATAACATATACACAGAGAACCTGGTGCAGACCCGTGTAGGCCCCGTGCACGCTGCCTCCGTCTCTGTGAGCTCATATGAGCTCTGCTCATACTGATCTACAGGGCCTTGTTTTCTTGGGTGTGGGAATCTTTGCAACCACCAAAGCCAGCAATGTGTGGATCTACCAGAGATAAGAAAGCAGTTTGGTTCAACATGACTCAGTAGCCAGTATTGTTTCAAGCTTTAAGAGTCTGACCCTGAGTAGTTTATTTTAGACATATTTAAGCACAATTTGGTGAAAAAATTTCCTGTGATAATTAACTCAATCCCATATGCACAATAAAGATTAAGGCACGGCTACATGGAAGCTCTTTGTAAAATACATTTTACATATTCCATGAAGATGGGTTTCTATAGATTGACCACATGTGACATCTTCCATAAAGATAACTTCTATAGACTGACTGAGAAAAAACAAGCTCACGATAAGGGTCTGGGGAAGGAGCTGGTGTGATCTCGGTCATAAGGATAATGCAAACGGCACCAGGCTATTAACCACCTCCATTTCCAGCCATCTGGTGGAAAACAGGTTGTATGTCTCTGCTGCATGTTTAACATTCCTGGTTTCCCTAGTGCTTACCTGTGAACACAAGAACCATTCCTGGTTTCCCTAGTGCTTACCTGTGAACACAAGAACCTCTGTGCATCCTACACCTGGTGTCCTCCATCCCCTCTGGCTCTTACACTCATCCTACCTCCTTTCCCACAGGGTTCCCGAGCCGGAGGGGAAGGATTTGATGGAGACATCCCTTTTAAGACTGAGTGTTCCAAGGTCTCTCACTCTCTGCATAATGTCTGGCTGTGGATCTCTATGTTTGTTCCCATCTGCTGCAGGAGGAAGCTTCTCTGATGACGGCTGAGCAAAGCACTGATCTATGAGTATAGCAGAATGTCATTAGGAGTCATTTTATTGCTACATTTTTTGGTTTTGCTCTTTAGGGCAGTAGTATTTACCCGAGGTCCCTGGGCTACCTAATCTCGGGTTCTTGATCAGCCACAGGTGTCAGTCTGGGTTTCATCTCATGGGTTCATTTCTCTTTTGGTAGCATGCAGACTACCTTCCTGTGTCAAAGATGCTAGAATGTAGGGTTGGAGGCTCTTTGTAGGCACCAGCTTGACATTTCCACGTCCAATGAGTTGTTCAGGTACCATCTTCAGCAATGGGGCCTTGCTGTCACTTTGTGAAAAGCAACATATAGTATTATCAGCACCCTGTGTTGTTTGAGGATTCCCATAGGACCTCCTTGACCAACACTCAATTAGAGGTACTGGAAGCTTCATTTGTGGCAAGAGATGACCATTTTGTGGCAAGAGATGACCACCCATTATTTTGAAATTTCATTTAGATCACACACACATACACACATATGTGTGTGTGTGTGTGTGTGTGTAGGCTTCTATTGTTTTAGGTTTCCATACTATCCCTTAAATGGCCTTAATTGCAGCTGTCTTTCCCAGCATTTCCTCTTTCATCACCCTCTCTCTACCCACTTCCCACTTGATAATCCTGTTCCAGATGCTGCCTGCATCCATTCGTATCCATAACTATCTATTCTAGATCCCTTTCCTAACAAGGAACACTGATCAATGTGTCTGGTTTTTGTGCCAATACCACACTCTTCCCTCCAATCCCTTACTCTAACCCTAACCTCTGTGGTTGTATAGGTTGCAGCTTGGTTATCATTGACTTAACAGCTAATATCCACAGAAAAGTGAATACACACTGTATTTCTCTTTCTGGGTCTGGGTTACCTCATTTGGTGATTTTTTTTTCTGGTTTCATCCATTTACCTGTAGATTTCATTATTTCAGCTATTTAACAACTGAGTAATTCTCCACTGTGTGAATGTACCACATTTTCTTTATCCATCCTTCTATTGAGGGGCATCTAGGTTGTTTCCAGTTTCCGGCTATTATGAACAGAGCAGCAATAACATGATGGAGCAAGTGTCTCTGTGGTAGGATGAAGAGTCTTTTGGGTGTACGCTCAAGAGTGGAGTAGCCAGATCTTGAGGTAGATCCATTCCTGTCTTCCTGAGGAACTAACCAACACATTGATTTCCATAGTGGCTGTACGAGTTTTCACTTCCACCAACAAGGATACTTGTTTTATTGATCTTAGCCATTCTGACAAGTGTAAGATAAAAATTTCAAAGTGGTTTTGATTTGCATCTCTTTTAAAGCTAAGGAAGTTGAACATGTCTTTAAGTGTTTCTCGGCCATCTGTGTTTCCCCCTTTGAGAGTTCTCTGACCCATTTTTTTTTTTTTTTTACGAGACAGGGTTTCTCTGTATTGTTTCGGAGGCTATCGGTCCAGCCCGGCCTCGAACTCACAGAGATCCGCCTGCCTCTGCCTCCCGAGTGCTGGGATTAAAGGCATGCACCACCACCGCCCGGCTTCTCTGACCCATTTTTAATTGGATTATTTGTCTCCTTGACACCTAGTTTCTTGAGTTCTTTATATTTTGAACACCAGCCTTTATTGAGTGTGTAGTTGGTCAAAATCTTTTCTCATTCTGTAGGCTGCTGTTTTGTCTGAATGATGGTATCCTTTGCCATGCAGAAGCTTCTCGGTTTCATGAGGTCCCGATTATTAATTGTTGATCTTAGTGCCTGCACCAATAATGTCCTGTTCAGAAAGTCTTTTCCTGTACCAGTGGACTCAAGCCCATTCCCCACTTTCTCTTCTGTCAGGTTCAGTATATCCAGTTTTATGGTGAGGTCTTTGATCCATCTGGAATTGATGGGGTTTTTTTTTGTGGGGGCAGTAAGTATGGATTTATTTGGACTCTTCTACATGTAGCTACCCAGTTTGACCAGACCATTTATTGAAGATGCTGTCATGTTTTTCCCAGTGTGACTTCCTGACTTCCTTATAAAAACCAGGCATTCATAGGTGAGGATTTATACCTGGGCCTTCAACTCAGTTCCACTGATTAATGTGTCTACTTTTGTGCCAATACCATGCTGTTTTTATTACGATAACTCTGTAGTAGTACGCATTAGAAATTACCTCCTGCAGTTCTTTTATTATTTAGGATTGTTTTAGCTATCTTGAACTTTTTACTTGTGTGTTTCCATATGAAGCTGAGAATTATCCTTTAATGATCTGTGAAGAATTGTGTTGAAATTTTGATGGGGATTGCATTAAATCTGTAGATTGCTTTTGAAAGGACATTTTTTTACTATATTAAACCTACTGATCCATGAGCATGGGAGACCTTTCCATCTTTTGATATCTTATTCAATGTCTTCAATATAGGAAGGGGAAAAAAGTATGTTTTTATCATACAAGTCTTTCACTTGGTTGGTTAGAGTTATCCTGGGGTATTTTATGTTATTCGAAGCTATTGTGAAAGATGTTGTTTCCCTGATTCCTTCCTCAGTCTGTTTGTCATTTTTAGGTAGGAGGGTCACTGATTTGCTGAGTTAGTTTTGCATGCAGCTACGTTTCTGAGTGTTTATCAGCTGTAGGGGTTCTGGGTGGAAGCTTTAGGGTCATTATGTATACTATTATATCACCTGAAAATAAAGATAGTTTGACTTCTTCCATTCCAATTGTTTCTTCTTGGTCCTCTTATATCCCCTTAAGTTGTCTTAGTACTAAATTGAATGGACAGAGTGGACAACCTTGTCTTGTTCCTGATTTTAGTGGAATTGCTTTGAATTGCTCTCCATTCAAGCTAATGTTACCTCTGGGCTTATTGTAAACTGCCTTTATAATGTTGGGGTATGTCCTGTGTATTCCTGAGTCCTCCAAGACTTTTATCATGAATGGGTACTGGATTTTTGTCAAAGGTCTTTTCTGCATCTAATAAAATGATCATGCAGTTTTTGTCTTTCATCTTTGTGGGTCGCTGTGCTGGCTAATACCCACATTTTAAAGATGGGGAAGCTGAAGACCAGAGAAGTTTATAATGTGTTCAAGGACAAGTAGCTTGTACAAAGACCACAAGGTGAATTCTTTAGTGATCTTCTTGAAACAGTGTATTTGACTTCACTTCATACATACAGGCGCGTCTGTGTGTGTGTGTGTGTGTGTGTGTGCGTGTGCGCTGCGCACACGTCCGCGCTCACACGTGTTGGGAGGCCTTGGATGATGTGATGAGCCAGGTGCCACCTACAGGTCTAGGACTACTTATGAGTCAAGTCTGTACTTCTCTTTCCACCATCATCAGCCTCCAGTTGAGCAAACCTTGATGGCTGGATAGGGTTTCACTTTCAACCTCAGGCTGACAGAAATATTCACGATTCACACAAACTTCCTGCGAACGGCAGTAACCTGGCTTCTCACACTCGAGGGAAGGCTGGACTGTGGTGTTCATGTCTCAGTTTCAGACTCTTCTGTCCCGTTTGACAGCACAGTCTGGATGGGGCACTGATAATGTAAATGGCGTTTTACATGGGGACATGGAGTCACCATGGCCAAAGCCAGAGTCAAACCTGTGTACACACAAACTTTAAGTAGAGGCCTCAAAGCCCAGTTTAGCCTCTGAGTGGTGAAAAATGCATCATCACCCAGTGTTCTGGCAAAAATAAAACAGGTAGTAAAAACTGAGGCCTGGATTCTAGTTCAGAATTTCTGCTCAGTTACACATTGGGATAAATTTTCTAAATGGGCTAGACCAACAGATAAGAGCTCCTAAGAATAAAGGAACTAGCATTTTGATTTGGCACTGCAAGCATAAAAGGCTGAGTTCAAATCCCAGAATCCACTTAAAAGCCAGCCACATCTATGCTGGTCTGCAATCCCAGCACTGGTGAGAGGGAGACAGGTGGGGTGGATCCTGGAGCCTGCTGGCCAGACACTCTAACCACATTGGTGAGTCCCAGGTTCCCTGAGAGACCTCCCTTAAAATTAAAAATAAGGCAGCAAGCAGCTAAAGATGCCAGACCTCAACCTCTAGGTTCTACAAGCACACGTGGGCTCCTCCTCCCTCCCTGTCTCTCTCCCTCCCTCCCTCTCTCTCTCTCTCTCTCTCTCTCTCTCTCTCTGTCTCTCTCTCTCTCTCTCTCTGTCTCTCTGTCTCTCTCTCTCTCTCCCCCTCATACACACACACCTTCATTTACAAAGCCTTTCACATATTTGATAATGACAGCTGTTTTCAGGTGGCCCTGAGGATAGGATTTCAGACTTGGAGGTTATTTGCCTCTAAAGGACAGACTCATTCCAACTAGCATACACTAAAAAGTGAAATCAGTCAAAGGGATGTGAGCTTATCTCTTGGAATCCGAGGGCAGGAAAGGGGCTGGGGTGTGCAAATGCTTGGAATGAGGAATTAGGATGTGGGCTGGGACCTCCTAACCACACCCTCCTCAGAGTCTCTGCTGGTCCTCTGTCGTTTTTCGTGTTCTGTCCCTGATTTTCCAGGGCACTGTCAAAGTCCTAAACTTCAGATCTGTACCACTGAAAAGTGGCAGTTCAGATTCGGTTTCCTCTGGGAGAAAGATTTTAATAAATTCAGCACAATTTGAAATTGGCTCCCCTTATTTATCTACCTTGGTTAAGCTAACTGTTCAGGAACCCAACATCACATTGAACGACCTGTCGGCTGGGGCCCAGTCATGAGGGTTGAGAACACCAGAGGCAGTTCATGGGACAAGCACATTTGAAGCAGCCTCCAACAGTTGTCCAGATATGAAAGAGTTTACATCGATTCATAGGTATCATAGAATTTGTTCTTTCCACATTTTAAATTTAGCTGAATGAGAAAAACTGTTTCACAGACAGGAAAATGAAGCTAAAGCCTTGTCAGGAAGTTGCTTAAGGCAACTTGAAACCAGAGTTCCTGAATGCTGAATCAGGCTTTGAGACACCAAGTAGCCCTTACCCTCCGAGAGCTGACTGGCTGTGGATGCTCTGTGGTCTTCAGAAACGGGCAGTGAAATTTTCCAGGTGATCTGCAGTGAAACCAGGCAGAAAAATCTAGTTGATTTGTGGTTCATCCCATACCATCTCACAAGATACCATCTCTCCTCCAAAGCGCAGACAGGTCTGCCAGGGAGTGGCCTGGCCCCTTGACGACGTGTTCGATCCAGATCAAATAGTGGTGGCTTAGAGGCTCAGTCTGGGGGAGGCTGGCACTTTTTCACCAATAAAAATGACTTTTAAAAATTAATGTTGAAACATTCTTCCATCATTCTGAAAGTATGCACTTTGCTCATCTGAAAAATACAACCATCTTGCCAGCTGCTGGCTGAAATTTGTGTGTACTTCCTAGAATAACATTGACTCAGTATTTCTTCTGAAGCCTTGGTAATGCTTCCCATTTTAGTTTTCCTCTTATGTATTCTCCTCACAATCTTCTAAACACAGGCACATACACACAGAGATAATGCACGCATACGCACCACACACACACACACACACACACACACACACACACACAGACCAGAGCATGCTTTCGCTCCGCATAACACAAATTACAAAGATTTTTAAAGTGAGGTATTTTGTACTGAACAATATCCTGGAGCTTAACTTCATGCCAAGGGCTAACAAGGTAAGGATTCCTTCTAGGGCCCTTGCGAGAGAGAGAGAGAGAGAGAGAGAGAGAGAGAGAGAGAGAGAGAGAGAGAGAGAGAGAGAGAGAGAGAGAGAGAGAGAGAGAGAGAGAGACTTGGTTATTCTACACCCTGTGTCCTCATGACTGTAGGAAGCGTTTGGCATCGGGTGGTCAGGTTGGAGCCAGCCTCTGAGTTTGCACTGCACCTTTCAAGAAAAGGTTATAACGGAGTCAGACCAGTGAGCTGCTGAAACTACAGCTTAGGGACGACTCGCAGATGGGTTACTAAGAATTCTGAAGGACTGCCCTGGGCTCCAGGGAGGAAGCACAGTCCTGACCAGCACCAGGGTGAACCGAGGGGGGCAGGCAGACCCCACACAGGCCCAGGACGATCTACCCCAGGCTCCGAGGAGAAAAGGTGTCCAGCCGGTACCTTGCAGCGCTGGGCAGATGCACACTATTAGGTGAGCCAATGCATGGCGTGTTAAGGGGGAGAGAGACAGATGGTTCATTTCCTGTGGACAGAGGCACATCGGAAGAGGCGAAAGCGGCGAGGGGTGGGCTGAGGTGGGTGGTGTGATTACCACCCAGGCCCATGGCGATGTCCGAGCCTGAGGTGCTGCCAGGACCCATTATTTGGGTTCATGGTCCTGGCGCAGCCAACGTCTGTGTTGATGTCCATGGTTCCTGATACCACTGAAGGCCAAGAGGATAGGGCTGGGCAGAGTTGGCCCTGCCCCCTCATCGGCTGTATCCTAGGGAGAACTGGTCCTGCCCCTCACCAGCCGAAGCACTCAGGAGAGACGTTCCTACACCTCACCTAGGCAGCTCGGTAGAGCTGACCCTGTTCTCAGGGGCATGGGCAAGCTGGCCCTGAGGGTTCGAGAATGGGAGAGCAGGTCGCGCTCCTCTCATATGGCGTGTGGCGGCATGGGAGAGGGGATCGACCCAAAGCCCTCACCAGCTGCAGCACGTGGAAGAAAGGGCCTACTCCTCACCTGGACGGCACAGTAGAGTTGGTCCAGTAGGCAGGGGCGGGGTGAGCCGGTCCTGAGGACGTGGGAGGGGCATAGCGGGTACCACCTCTCTCGCCTGGGGTGTGGTGGTGGGAGGGAGGGAGGGAAAGATGCCCATCCCACCTGCCCCTACCACCTCCAGCTGCCAAGGGAGCTGACCGTACGCTTCGCCCGCTGCAACCCTTGGGAAAGCAGGCCCTGCACCCTGGTCTTGGCAGAACAGTGGAGAGGACCTGATTGACTGGGGTTAGAGGAGAAATTAAATGTGGGAGATCCGGCCCCGCCCCTCAGCTGTCGTGTGGTGGTATGGGCAGGGGAGAGATGTCCTTCTGGGGCCAAAAAAGAATTCTGGGGCCAAAAGCCGTGATTAATCTTTTCCAGCATCATCACTTCCCAAACACACCTAACCTAGAAATAAAACCAAGACTTTGAGAAGCAAAGTTATTTTCTTAGTTCAAAGATTTCTCCGACCATTGCTGGTCACAGCTGTGTTTTCTTCTTTGCCCCACTATCTCTAAAGCGCCCCCAGTCAATCTCATTCCCACACAACCTATGCCACTGGGTTGGGGAGGGCAGCGGTCTACCTGGGACTTAGATAACACGGGAGCCGAGCAAAACCACAGTTAAGGTTTCTAAATGCCCTCCCAGGACTGCCACGTGCACGCAGATGCTACCAAATCTACCCTCACACAGCTCTCCTCATAAGACAAGACGCCATCCTCACACATGCTGAAAGACATGGGATTCCTGAATTAGAGACAAAGGGTTTTATTACTCCCATCGACAGCAAAAGTAATAATTTCAGTTTTTCTTGTGTTGGTTTTCTAAGTTCCAGTCCCCACATGTATATACAAAGAAGCCAGAATATCGGCACACGTGAATGTAGTTTCCAGGCAAGACGTGTGCTCTGCCTGACTCCAAGCCCCTAACTCCGTCAATAAAATGAAATTTGGGGAATTGGCAACACTTATTTCAGTGTTTTATTTGAAGCACATGAGAATGAGAGGCAAATTAAAGATCCATCTTTAGGGACTGATCGCCAGGCTCAGCTTCAGCTCTGACCTCCATCCTGGCCCGAGACCCCAGAGCAGGTGCCGTAACCGGGCTCAGGTAAAACGCCTGGTAGGGGCAATGGGAGTGTGCGGCAGCCTGGGATTCGCAAGCAACGCGAGACCGCTAGATGCAGGATTGGCACAAATTCTCTCTCCTGGTAGAATGCAGTTTGCTTTTTCCATCTCCAGCCAAACCAGGTGTGTCTGCCTAAAGAGAGATAGAGAGTGAATCCCGGAAGATAGGGATTCAAATGAAAATGACTTCTCAGTGAATATTACTGTTTTTTCAATTCAGATGAAAACAACTAACGATGATGACCTGGAATGATGGGCTTTGAGATTGAAAATGATTTTCAACTTCATTTGACCCAGTTGTCTTATTCTATGGAAATATAAAAAATATGAGAGAATAAAACATATTGACTTGAAAATCTTCTATATTGCATGAGCCTGGACACAACCAAGACGGCCCACCTTGGCAATCAGCTTTTAAAGCAAAATGATTGATACTGATAAAATTACAGAATAAAAGCTTCATTAGATCTTTAAAAAGCAATAATCCATCCTGTTGTACTAAGACCATGTCAATCATTTTAATTATTCCATCAGTAATATTGTAGCAATGTTCATCACCAAATTTCATATGAATTATTAAAAGTTGAGTGTAACATAAAGACTCCAGTTATCTTCTCATAGAGATTTTTGCCTGAAGAATTATCAACTCAGCAGATTACATTCATGCTGATACTTTTTTCTCCCATTCTTTCCCGTTATGATATGTTTAAAGAGTCTACATGCCACACAAATCAATCGATACCAATTTTTATATGTTGAGATGCATATACAAAGATTCTAATTTTAAACAGACATTTACTAATGATAGTTTAAAATGAGAACACAGGAACAAACATTAATTTCATCTGAGGTCTAATAGTCTTCCTGAACTATTCGCAACTAAGGGATTAAGACAAACATTTTGCTAAAAAAGCCATGGAGTGTGTCTGTATGAGTTAGACTGGTGCATACACAACCTCACTATTCAGACCACAGAAATTCTGACCCAGTTTGCAAACACATGAAAGAGATCTCAGCTTCTTTAAATTACTGCTGTATTAAAATATTTCAGTTAGGGAGTAGAAGAGTCATGGCTGTTTTCTCTCCCTTGATGAGACTAGCCTCACTCCCCCTCCCTCAGACTCTCACTCCCTCACTCCTTTTGTTTGGGGTCTTTGTACTCACTCTTTCCTGTAGGGAATACTTTCCTTGCAGACTTTCTAGGATTTTTGTGGTCTTGATTCAGGTATTACTAGTTATGTATTTTGTTCTCCATAATACTTAGAAACTTGCTAACTGATCACCCTGAATCTGCCCACACCTCAGTCTTCGGTGCCTTCCTGTCCTTGCCCTGTGCTTAACGTGAGTGGGGGCTCTGCTCTGAGCCCCAACTCCCTACATCCCCTGGCTCTGTCTCCCTGGGCATTTTCTGTGCCTAGAGAGGAACTTCCATGCCCGGAAGGATCACCCTGAGTCTGCCCACACCTCAGTCTTCAGTGCCTTCCGGTCCTTGCCCGGGGCTTAAGGAGAGGAAGAGACCACATGAGCTCCCACTGAAAGAAAGGATGGGAAGAAGGCAATATAAAAACACAGCCAATAGCAGAGGAACCAATATGACACCACCAGAGTCTAGAAACTCTACACCAGCAAGACCAGAACATATCAACACAGATGAAACAGAAAAGAATGACCTTCAAAACAACCTCCTGAAAGTGATAGAGGCCCTCAAAGAGGATATGAGAAAATCCCTTAAAAAAATGGAAGAAAACACAAACCAAAAAATGCAAGAAATCAACAAATCTCTTAAAGAAAGTAAGGAAAACCAAGGGAAAAAAACCAATCAAACAAATGAAGGAAACAATTCAAGATCCGAAAGCCGAAATGGAGATAATAAGAAAAACACAAAATGAGGTAATGCTGGAAATCGAAAGGCTGAATAAACAATCAGGAACTACAGATGCAAGCATAACTAACAGAATACAAGAGATGGAAGACAGAATCTCATGCACTGAAGATAAACTAGAGGAAATAGATTCATCGACAAAAGAAAGTCTTAAGTCCAACAAATCCTTAACACAAAATATCCAGGAAATATGGGACACTATGAAAAGACCAAATCTAAGAATAATAGGTATAGAAGGAGGTGAAGAAGTCCAGCTCACTGGTGCAGAAAACATATTCAACACAATCATAGAAGAAAACTTTCCCAACCTGAAAAAGGAGATGCCTATGAAACTACAAGAAGCTTACCGAACACCAAATAGATTGGACCAAAAAAAAGTCCCCTCGTCACATAATAATCAAAACAC